AGAGGCTTGCTTGTGTGATCATGGTTCTTTGATTTATAATTCTGATTCTCACTTTATACACTATATAATGATACTAATAACACAGTGTTGATGAAATTGTTTACTGGTCATGAATGCTAACTGATTGTCTGTGTGAGAGGAAAACAGAAATTATGTATATATATATACAAAAGAAGAAAACAAGAATAGATGAATAAATATGTGAATGATCTTTATATAGTCTTTGAAATTTATTTAGTCAATATTCCTGTCATGTTTGTTGTTGTCATGGGGGTATTGAAGAGATGAGGCCCAGTGTTGGGATCTCCTCTACCTTGGGCTTCAGCCCATGGCTTAACCAATTTTGCAGTCTTTTCTTCTTCCATCTCTATTCCAACCCCTTCTTCTGTCCGCTTCCTAAGACATAAACTGTATAGAAAGGATGAAAGGCCGGCTTTGTACCAGTCATGGATGGCTTTAGGGAACCACAGACATGGTATTCCTGTTTAGTTATCTAGCCCTTACACCTCAAAAGGTGAACCATTTCTCATCCCCACATACTCCAGGGTTAATATGGCCAATAATGATTTTACACCTTTATTAGGGGCATTGAGGCATTTTATCAACTACCCCCTGGCTCTCCTTTGATCATGGCTTTGAACAGTGCCACTACTAGCTTGGCCGCCTCTCCTTGATACCTGCTGTCAGCTCAGTCCATTCCAAGTCACTTACCCAGGTCATTACCCAACCTTCATATAAAATTCCTTCCTCTCTCCCAACTTCCTCAATAGTCTTCTTAATTTTTAACCCTCTCCACCCTTATCACTACTCTACATCCTTGTTGTCCACCTCCCTTTAGTACTGTTTCACACTATACCACTCCCTCTTCTTTCTTCACCTACTTTCATCTTGGCAAATCCCCCCCCCCCTTTAAAAGTAGTACTGGAACTGTTCCATGTTCCTGGCTGATTGTCCTGTCTATGACAAGGACTGGTCAGACTGTGAAAATGACCTGCTTGCATGCTTCATTGACTGTGATGCAGTTTCAACACACTGCTGCACTATTCCCTCCAGAGTATACCAAAAGTCCTACAGCAACATTGCCAAGATTAGCTTCTGTAAACATGACCTCCCCTATGAAGTTTGAAATGGTGTCGAGTCCTGTCCTGTCTGGCCATATTGCTCCCTCCCCTGTCAATGTCAAAAATGTTGGTGTTTTGGCCATTCAGCCAAACATTGTTGCTACACATATATCTGGCCCACTGTACTCTGTGCCCAACCTGGCCATGATCTTTTCAAATTGCCCTGTGCAGTCACACCTGTGTCCTAATTGTGGTGGCCTCATAATAAATTTTCTAGGAGCTGCCATATCTACAAGTTTGAGTCTGAGTTAGCAATCATCAGATTAAAACTTGGTCTCACTTTACACAAAGCCAACCAAGAAGCACACCAACAAAATTTTTCTCTTACTCCCTACTCCAATGCTGTCCTCTTTGCCCCTCCCTCTTCTCCCCAAGATGTTCCTACAATACCAGTATCTCTTACTCCTTACATTCTCACTTCTACCCCCTCCGTCTCCCTATCAAATTCTTTTGCCATTCTCAGTCCATTCATTCTAATCTCTACTACTTACTCAGTGCCTACCCATCCTCCTTTTACTCTACCCATTACATCAGGGTAGGGCGATTGAGTGAATTGCAGTGTATCTGTCACTGGAAAAGGAATAGGAACACTGTTCAAGGAAAACAAAGATGGCTGTTTGAGAAGTAGAGTAGAAGAATCTTGGGGATGAGAAAAGGGATTTGTGAGTATTCAGGTGAGAGTGGTAGAGAGATGTATGTTGGGAGGGTGAAGGAGGAAGGGGGTCGAGGAGAACTTGAGGAGGAGGATGGATATCAGCAAATGCTTTAAATGTAGGAGTAGAAACAGAGGGATTAGAGGGTGGATGAAGGAGTGGAGTATTCCTTTGGGTCATCTTTAGGAAGTTTTGGATGTCTTCAAGATTTACTGGAGGGGAGTTTTGGAATAAGTTGAGAGAAATACCTTACCGTGTTTCTCGTCTGGCCTCACATAGAGTGAGGCCTAGTTTGAATCTGAGAACTGCTACCTCACATTCAAGTTTATAGGCAGGGCAGCTCCTATAAAATACATTATGGGAGTCTCCACAGTTGGCACATGTAAAGTGACTGAACAGGGCAATTTGAACGGTCATGACCAGGTTGGGCACATAGAGGGTTGTGGAGTGACAGTGTTTGGATGGGTGGCCAAAACGCCAACATTTTTGACATTAACGAGGAAGGGGTCGATATGGTCATACATGGTAGGATAATCCACAATATAGACTTCATGGGGGAGGTCATGTCTATGGAAGCTAATCTTGGCAATATTGATATGGGGTCTACGGTGGCCTCTAAGAGGAACAGTGTAGCACTGTACAGCCACAGTATCATAATCAGCAAGGCAGGTAAGTAGGTCATTTTCAGTCTGACTAGTTCTTGTTGTGGATAGGACAAGCATTTGG